CAAATCATTAGTCTAAAAAAAAAGATTACCTATTGATAGTCCCTATTTATGTTTCTACCCATCCTTGAAAGTGAGGAAGGGAATATATAAAGAAACATTGATTTATTCAAACAATGCCATTATAATAAATGAAATATCTATGATCTGTTCACCTTCATCAGCAATACCTTCTCCTGAGTTCACAATAATAACTCAACACACCCTTGATCTTTTTCTTTTCGCATTGGTATGTTGACTTTAATGTGGCTCACATCAACCAATTCTTTCTTTTCTAGAATTTACTTTCAATGTCAGAATCATTAAAAAAAAAAAATCATTTAGATTAATTTATAAGAATCTAATTTTTACTTTTTATTAAATAATCTTTATGCTATTATTTTCTAAATCACTTATTATTTCTTTGTTTAAATTAAATCTAAGAATTAAAGGTCTGTTGTATTTAAAATATTTATTTCTCTGTTGTTCAAGATATTTTTATTTGTGTGCAACTTTCCAGATTTATTTATTGATTTCCATGATATGTAAAATTACTATTTTACAGTATTAATTCCATCAAACCCTTTTTAAAATCAAATGACTGGCATCACATCAAGAAAAAATCAAATTAATCATGTTGCAAATTGTTAAAAATTGAATGATTAATGCCATCATTAAGAAAAGCATCAAATGATTAAACTTAAAATAAGATTAGTTATGAACATTACTTAGCAAAATATCCTGTCAAATCCTTTGTCCATTAATGATATATTTATTATTTGTTAATTCAGAAATGTTATATTAGTACTAATCAAGCTATACACTAAACAATATATATGATTTATGAACTGCTAATTCAGATATCTTTTCTGTGAATTAGAATATTTTATAATTTTGTGGATATTTTTTTTATTTTATCACAAATTTGTGGATAACTACATGATTATGCAGAAAGAGTTTAGTTTTTATTGTTTAACTATTGGCTTTTTAATAGTTAATAATATTTAAAAATTATTTTATTATTTACAGATGTTATCATGGAGAATAGTCTGGAAGATTTCAATCTCACATAATTTTATTTTTGTTATAACATAATATATATTTTATTATTTCATGTCATATATATGATGATCATTTATGATTTACTGTTATTGATGGTAAAGAACAGTTGGCCGGCATTAGTATTATTTGATATTAAAGATGATTAGTGGCAGGAGATGGACTCTGTCAAATGTAAATTACAATCTTGATGGTTACTAATTAATATTTTCTTATAAAAAGAGCTGGAGCCCCTTTAGGGATGGGGACGGTTTATGACACGTCCGGCGACGAATAATATTTTTATAATTGATCCGTGACGATTAATATACTAAATTATAAGTAACAATTAATTTGTCTTGTTTTGGCAATATAAATGTCACCTGCAATTTAGTATATTAATCGTCACGGATCAATTATAAAAATATTATTCGTCGCCGGACGTGTCATAAACCGTCCCCATCCCTAAGCCCCTTTGACTCTAAATGTATCATTTTTCAATATCTAATCATATAAACAATTAATTACCTCAACTTTAATATAACAATAATTCCCCTAATAATATTCACATTTATATATGTATTATCATTTGATTATTAATCAATTGCCAGCACAATAAATCTGTCTTTTTGTTCTCCAAAATAAATTTTTTTAATTGGATAAATAAAATTCATTTACATTGTGTAACAAACAAGCTTTTTAAAAAAATGTTTGAAATAAATAGTTTGCCACTTGAGCTTCTGACTGAAATATTAAAATATATTGAAGATGATTACCAAGCAATATATTCTTGTATTCTTATCAACAAACAATGGCACAATATAAATATTTCAACTTTATGGAAGGATCCATTTGTTTGTAAAGACAGCATCAAAATATTAATTAATTGCATATTAGAAGAAGATAAGGATTTCTTAACTAGAAATGGCATTGCATTAACTTTTGAACTATTGGAGAAACCACCATTATACAATTATGCCAGATTTTGCACTGTATTTTTTGAAGATTATAACCTTCAATTCCTGATAAAAAATGATGAAACAAATCTTATACAAATTTTACGAAATAAATTAGTAAATTTTATTTTAGACCATTCAGCAGGTATTAAAAAGCTTAATATTGTTGATTATATAAATTATCATATAGATTTTAATTTATTAATTAAACATCATAGATTTGATGATTGTTTTCAGAATCTTTATAAAATAGATTGTGATAGTATTGGTAGTGGTGAATTTTTTGATAAATTAGCAAATATTTGTAAAAATATTCAATCACTTGCATTATATTGTGAAAGTGATGACAAAAACCTATATAATATAGCACAGCTAATTAAAGCACAAGATCAAATTAAATATTTAATTATTAAATCAGAAATTTTATCAGATGAATTAAAAAATGCAATATTAACACATTCACAATCAATAATTTTTTATGAATCATATGATAATGAAAATAATTTTGATAATTTATTATTACCAACTCTCAAAAATTTAAAAACTTTGGAATTAACAATTAATATTAATAGCAGAATGATAAACTGGAAAAATATTTCATTGCAAAATATTGAATCTGCAAGTCTATATTTTGATTGTCAACAATATATATCAAACTTTTCTGATTTTATTAATATCAATGGAAAAAATCTTAAAAATCTGAATGTTGGTGGTTATACTGATGGATTCTTGAGAGAGCTATTTCAATCAATTGCACAAAATTGTAAAAATTTAGAAGATTTATCTATAATGTACAAGGATGAACTAGACCAGGAATTAATGGAAGTACTTAATAATTGTATTAAATTAAAAAGTATTAGACTTGATAAATTTCCTGGAAATATATTAGATTTTGACAAAATTATAACAGTATTGAATGAAACATTACCAAAAAATTTAAAGTCGATAACCTTTGCTTGTAAAGTTTATAATACTAGTAACAATTCTTTGGACATTTTAATGAATAATTGGAGAGGATCCAAACCTTTAATGATAAGTTTTGATGAATATAAGTATGAAATTTTGCTAGAAAGTGACGAAAGAAAAATATTAGAAAAATATCAAGATTTAGGGTTTTTAATAATTAATAATATTTAAGTTATTTTATTATTATAGTTGTTATCAGTGAATAGTCTGAAAGATTTCAATTTTCATGATTTTTATTATTGTTTATGTGTTTGTAATTCTTTATTATAACATAATATATTTTATTATTTCATGTCATATATATGATATTATGATGAATTACATCTGATGGTCATTTATGATCTACTGCTATTGATGGCAAAGAGCAGTTGGCCAACATTAGCATTAATTTAATATTAAAGATGATTAGTGGCAGGATTAGATCTTTGTCAAATGTAAATTACATTCTTGATGGTTACTAATTAATATTTTCTTATAAAAAGAGCTGGAGCCTCTTTTCATTCTGAATGTATCATTCAACAAACAATAGCACAATATAAATATTCCAACTTTATGGAAGTATCCGTTTGTTTGTAAAGACAGCACCAAATATTAACTAATTGTATATAAGAATTTCTTAACTGGAAATTGCATTGAATTAACTTTTGAACTATTGGAAAAACCACCATTATACAATTATGCCATATATTTTTCAAGTGTTGTGATTTTTGATGCTGATAAAAAATAGAGAATTAAGTTTACAAATTTTACAAAATAAATTAGGAAACTTTATTTTGATCATTAGCAGGTATTAGAAAGATTAGTTCTTATTATATAGATTTTAATTTATTAATTAATCATCATAGATTTGATAATTGTTTTCAGAATCTTTATAAAATAGATTGTAATATTCTGATAGTGGTGAATTTTTTGATAAATTAGCAAATATTTGTAAAAATATTCAATTGTTAGCAGTATATGGTGATAATATAACAAAAGTATATATAATTTAGCACAGCTAATTAAAGTACAAGAGCAAATTAAATATTTAGATATTAAATCAGCAATTTTATTAGATGAATTAAAAAAAGCAATATTAATGCATTCACAATCAATAGATATTGTGGTGAAGATAGAGATAACTTTAGTGATTTATTATTACCAATTCTTAAAAATTTAAAAGCTTTAACACTTTATATTGATAGCAAAATGATAAATTGGAAAAATATTTCATTGCCAAACATTGAGTCTGTGAAATTATATATTGGTGGTCAAACATTTCTATCAGACTTGTCTGTTCAATGGAAAAAAATCTTAAAAATCTGAATGCTGGTGGTTATACTGATAAATCCTTGAGAAACTATTACAATCAATTGCATAATATTGTAAAAATCTAAAAAATTTATCTATAATGTATAAGAATGAAATAGACCAGGAATTAATGGAAATACTTAATAATTGTATTAAATTAAAAAGTATTAGACTTGATGAATTTCCTGGAAATATATTATTAGATTGTGATAAAATATTGACAGCATTAAATGAGACATTACCAGGAAATTTAAAGTCAATAACCTTTGCTTGTAAAGTTTATAATATTAGTAACCATTCTTTGGACATTCTAATGAAGAATTGGAGAGGTCCCAAACCTTTAACAATAGGATTTGATAAGTATAATGAATATGAAATTTTGCTAAAAAGTGGAGCCTTGACAAATTTTCTAAAGTATATATATATAATAATAATAATAATAAAAATTTGATAAAATTGCCTTCTATTTATTTTAAAAAAAGAAAAATAATCACAGGTTTGCCAAACACAAATAAAACCAAACAGCCACATCATCATTATTTTTATTTTGTCAAAAGGATTGTTTCTGATAGCAATAATACTAATACTATAAACAACATTGGCTTGTATAATGAACGTTAGATTTTAGCCATTTATTGAAAAGGCATATTTAAAAGTGGTAGTTTTTGAAATTGTGCTTATACAATTTTGTAAAAGATCGTCAAAATAAAGTAAATTTGTTCTCAAAAAAAAAAAACGCGTTAATCATATTTTTTTGGATTAAAAAAATATATAATGACAAAAGGTTCTAAACGTCAAAATTATGGGCCATGTGTTGTATGTGGCCTAATTGACTCAAACGTAAAATATAGAAAATTGAATGTCGAGTCTCTTAGAAAGACAACAAACAGTCCAAAATTTCATCTAGTAACAACAAAACTTGAAGTTGGTCAACAACTTTGTCAAAAAGACTGGAATCAACTGGTAATTTACGATAGAAATGCCTACAGTCCTAAAAAAAAACAAAGCAAAACTCCTGACAAATCATCAAGTGGTGCACACAATAATAATAATAATGAATTTAATAATGCTAGAAATATAATTCGTGATCTTGAACAGAAAATTTCAGAGTTAACAAGAAAATTAGGAAATATGAAAAAATGGTAATAATTATAATGATAATGATGTTGATGATGATGACGATATCTATTATCTATTATTTCAAGTCATTTATTTATTAATGTCTAATATCAAAAAAATTTTTTTTTATTAAAATGACTAAATATTAGCGATCAATCCAATCAATGAAATGTATCTATCATTTGAAATTTGGAAATTTTCAAAATATCCACCTTCTAACAGCACAATTAAATAAATAATAATAATTAACAAATACTGCCAAAATTATTTTATTAAATTAAATAAAGAGATTAAATAAATAAATAAATATAAATATATATATTATAAACTTATTGGCAAATCATTGTTCTCAATTTTTTATTAATAAAGTAGAAGTAGTGGCATCTTAATTAGATAATGGTGGTGTTGTAGGCGGCGATTGTTTGTCTTTAAGGTAATCTTCGAATGGGTTCTTATCTGCAAAAGGCCTTTTACCCAATAAATTTATCATGTCTTCTCTATTCAATACTTCTTTTGATAATAATAGTTTTGCAACTTTTTCAACATCATTCTTTTTCTCTGTCAACAGTTGGACAGTTCTTTCATATGCCGTTCTCACCAACTTTCTCACCTCTTCATCTATCATTCTAGCTGTTTCTTCCGAATATGGTTTCTGGAATTGTGGTTCGTTATCGCCTGGATTATTAAATGAAAGTGGTCCTATAATGGCATTCATTCCATACATTGACACTTGTGCATAGGCAATCTTTGTAACCTTTTGTAGGTCATCCTGTGCTCCTGTAGTCACTACATTAAAAAATATTTGTTCTGATACACGTCCACCCAATGTCATGCACATACGATCTAATAATTGTGAAGTTGAATAGAGATATTGATCTTTTGGTAGATATTGTGCATACCCCAGTGCTCCTATACCTCTTGGAATTATTGAAACTTTCAATAATGGATCTGCATGCTCTAAAAACCACCCTGCAACTGCATGCCCTGCTTCATGATATGCTACCGTTTTCTTTTCTTCTGGTGATAATACCCTCGATTTCTTCTCCAAACCTGCTATTACTCTTTCAATTGCTTGCTCAAAATGTTCTTCACCCACTGATTCTTTTTGATACCTTGCTGCAATAAGTGCTGCTTCATTGGAAACATTGGCTATATCCGCACCTGAAAATCCTGGCGTCAACGCAGCCAATTTATTTGCCAATCTATCTATATCTTCATTGGTTTTTATAGGTTTCAAATGTACTTTAAATATGGCGGCTCTACCCTTAATATCTGGTTTATCAATTCCAATATGTCTATCAAATCTACCTGGTCTCATTAATGCTGGATCTAATACATCTGGTCTATTTGTACCAGCTAAAACAACTACGTGTTCGCTAGATCCAAACCCATCCATCTCGACTAACAACTGATTCAATGTGCTCTCCCTTTCATCGTTCCCGCCAAATTGCCCAATTTTTCCTCTGGATTTTCCTATCGCATCAATTTCGTCCACAAATATAATACATGGTGCATTCTTTTTTGCGGTAGCAAATAAATCTCTTACTCTGGATGGACCAACCCCAACAAACATCTCTATGAACTCTGACCCCGATACGCTTAGAAATGGCACGCCGGCTTCTCCTGCAGTTGCTTTGGCAAGTAACGTTTTACCTGTGCCAGGTGGTCCACTTAATATCGCACCTTTTGGAATTTTGGCGCCTAGTTTCTCATATGCGGTTGGATCCTTTAAAAATTTAACAAATTCCATAATCTCTTCTTTTGCCTCATCCATACCTGCTACATCTTTGAATTTCACTTTAACGTCTGCCTCTTGATTAAATAGTTTCGCTTTGGATTTACCAATCCCAAAAATTCCTTGTGAGCCTGCTGCTCCACTGCGTCTCGTCAAATAGTATAATGCACCAACCAAGAACAAAGTTGGAGCAAAATGTAATAACGTGTTTAAAATACTAATTTCATCATGATATGCTACTGGTATCCTTTCACTTGACGGAATTTCCAATTCTTTTTGTGCATCCTCTAATTTTCTTTCAAATGCTTCCACTGACCCAATGCTAAAATAATATGTTACGCCTGATAATGAGGGAGAATTTGGATACACTTGTCCTGTTGCATTTGAATGTAAGATAACCTTAACTTTTTTCCTATTTATCACAACCAACTTATCAACTAATCCCTTATTTAAAAATGCAGTTCTAAATTCTTGCCATGTTATCTCGCGTGAATTTTCATTACCAGAAACAACCTTATAAAAAACATAAGCTGCCATTAAAAAAGGAAGTATAGTATTGGCATTTAATTGCATTTGAAATTCTTTTTGTTGAAATGGCGGTTTTCTTTGTGATCTTTTTTCATTTTGTGATCTATTACTTCCATCATTATTATTCTTTTTTCTTGATGAATTTTCTGAACCTTTACCATCTTTACCACCACCACCTTTAATGTTAGATGACGACGACGATGGTTTATTAAAAAAATTTTCAAATCCTCTTGGAATTTGTTTATTTTCTTGGACCTCATCTGATTTTTTCTTATCAGGCATTGACACTACATGTATTATTATATATATGTTAATATTATTTTAATCCATTGTCATTTGCAAAAACAATTAATCAACGATAGACATTCACATTTCACCAGTACCTTTCTTATTTAAATTATTGCTATTATTGTTGTCATGGTTGTTACTACCATTAGAACTTTTTGGTTCAAGTGGAGGTGGTGATTGTGAAGATATTTGAGTTATTGCAACAGAAATATTATATTTTTTTGTCAAATTGTGAAAACCTATCAACAAAAACAACAACTACAATAAGACTTTTTTTTTTGCTTCTCTTGGGGATTCAAAAAAAAATTTACCTGATCTTTGCGTGAATGCTGCATTTCGATGTGAACGGTTATTAACTATTAAATTATTAATTTGTTTATAATAGATAGTTTTTTGAAAATTAATAAAAACTTTTTTACGTAATAAAGTAGCCATTTATTACAAGAAAAATTTTTTGATAAATAATAAAATTCAATCGGCGCGCAGTATGTTACACATTAAAATACGCATATTAATATTAATATTTTTTGACGTGTGACTGGAAACTTGGATCAAAAAAAAAAAAATGGAATTAGAAAAAAGTGAACGATTTATAATTTTTTATGCCTCGCAGACAGGAAATTCTGAATGGATTGCCAAAAATATTCATAAAGAAGCGTTAGAACATGGTTACTCTAATGAATGCTTTGTATGTGATGATTATGAAAAGGTAATGTAGTAAATAAATAATTTTTTTGAAATTTTCAAAATATTTTTAAATTAATGATTTAACAACTTTTTAGGTAGATTTTACAAAAGAAAAGGTCTTGATTTTCGTTACTGCAAATACTGGTGACGGTGATCCACCTGACAATTCAATAAAATTCTTTCGGTTCTTAAGAAAAACAAAATCTAAAACTTTTTTAAGTCATGCAAAATTTACAATCCTTGGTAATAAGTTGAATCGTTTTCATGCTAGTACGGAATTTTTTATAATTGGCTAAATTATTATAATTTTATAGGATTGGGAGATACAAATTATTCGAATTTCAATAATACAGCAAAACGTTTAGAAAAGAAATTGTTAGAGATAGGTGCTACTACTTTTTATGAAAAGGGTCTTGCAGATGACGCAACTGGGTAAAAAAAATCAACCTTAATATAATATACATAAGTATATCAATTTATTAATTCATATTTAATTATTTTGACTTTTTCTTTGATTATAATAATGAAAAAGATTGGAGGCAATTGTTGATCCTTGGATTTCAAATTTGTGGCTAGCTCTACCTAATGTATGTATTCAGAATGATAATTTAAATGATCAATCAAATCAAATTGTTGATTCGATAAAGGAAATTAAAATCGAAGATGATAAAAAAGATACAAATTTGTTGAATGGCAACAAACAGCCAAAGACTGAAAATAATATTAAAAATGATTCTAATGATAACAACCATAATAATGATAACTCACAAAAAATTCAAACAACTAATGGTCTACAAAAAGGATCAAAACTTTTATTAGATTTATCAGATATTGATAAACATGAACAACTTACAGCCTTGCCACGTATTCCTGCCACAATATGTAAAATAATAAAGAAAAAAATAAGACATTTAAATCCTTTAAAAAGTTTACCTTCTTTCATTATTAATAACCTAATTATGTATGCTAAATTAGATACAGTATGTTGTTTGTCACATCCTGATGCTTTAAAAAGGACTTTGCATCTTGAGTTAGATGTTAAAGAATTTAGGGACAAAATAGAGTTTGTTCCTGGAGATTCTTTTGGAATCTACGCACCTAATAGTATCGAACTTATTAAGGGAATATTGAGTATGCTGGAGATTAATGAACAGGAATTTGATGAAGAAATTTCTGTTGAATCTTTAGAGGAAAAAGGTTAAAATTTGATTTATATCTATATATATATATATATTATGGGGATTCTAAAAAAAATTTTTTTAGATCTTCCATCACATCTTAAAAATGCAAATTCTACATCAATTATCGAGTTGCTTTCTTATGGAGTTGATTTATGTTCATCGCCACGTAAAGCTTTATTGAGAATGATGGCAGAATATGTTTCGGATGAAAATGAAAAGAAGACTTTACTTTTTTTGTGTAGTAAACAAGGTTTTATTTTTTTATTTTTTATTTATCGACAATAATAAAACAAATCATTATCCATATTTACATTTATATATTTCTAATATTTATATTTATAGGTCTTCAACAATTCAATTGTTTGCGTGAACAAGCACCAACTTTTCTTGATTTATTAACAACATTTCCATCTTGCAAACCACCATTTGAACGTATTTTGGACATACTACCACCTCATCAACCTCGTTATTATTCAATAACCAATTCGCCATTATCAATTTGTGATAAATTACATATTGCATTTAATGTTGCAGAATATGACACACCATCTCCATATAATATGAGAAAATATGGAGTTTGTACTCCTTGGCTTGACAATTTAACAGGTGTAGTTACTGAAATGAACAAGCCAGTTAAATTATCATCTGATATAAGAATTCCTATTTTCATAAAACCAAACACGAATCAATTTGCCGTTCCATCGGACATTTCAAAACCTGTGATTATGATAGGTCCGGGTACTGGTGTGGCACCGTTTGTGGGATTTTTGCAACATCGTGAACAAATACTTTCTGTCAATCCGAAGGAAGTAGGGAAAAACAACAATGATATTTTAGTAGGAGACATGTGGTTGTTTTATGGTTGTAGGAATAAAGAAATAGACTTTATTTATCGTAAGGAATTGGAAGGATTTTTAGAACGAGGTATTTTGAAAGAGTTACTTGTCTCTGAAAGTAGAGTAGCTGGAGCTGGTATTGATGGAAAACCCAAGTACGTTCAAGATCTTATTAGAAAGTATGGTAATGACTTGTATGATTTGTTGGATAAAAAAAATGCAATGATATTTATTTGTGGGTATGTATATATCGAAAATATTTTTTATATTGAATTTATTTGTTTGATGTTTGTTTAAGCTAATTATACATTACAATGTGATTGATTATATATATAGAGATGCCAAAGGAATGTCAAAAGATGTTAATGATGCATTGGTAGATATTTTAATCGAGCATGGAAAAATGGATCGTCCTGAAGCAATAAAATTATTGCAGAAATGGATGAGTGAGAAGCGTTATTTACGTGATCTGGTAAGATTGTTTGAATTTTGATTTATTTATTTCTAATCTGCTTGAATGATTCTGATTTCTTTTTTCTTTTAGTGGGCATGATCATTAATATATTATAGAAATGAAAAGTTGGCATGTAACTTTTACTTGTTATTTTTCCTATTTAAATTCTTGTCTATCTGGAGAATCATTACCTCGTAACTCTGAGAATAGAATGATCTGTATTTGTATGTTTATATAATAATAAAACAATAATAAATAAAAAAAATTTAATAAAAATAAAATAGCGCAAAATTTTAATCATGCAATTATTGATCGACAAATTGACCAATCAAAATCGTGAATTTGATAATGTAAAAATAAATGTTGGTTTGATTCGTATCGTCAACAATCACTTCACTAACAATTGTTTCGTTAACAAATGGTTTGAATTTAAGAAGTTGGAAGCAAGCATGTGACAAACCTTTGAAATAGTCTAATAAATTAAATCGTACTGCTCGAAAGTATATTTAAAGGGTTGGTTTTCGACTTGGTTGAAGAATAACTCTCTTCCTAACTCTTCTCTTGACCATATCTCTCAATATAATCAAAATAACCTTAACATAACGAATGTCAATGAAATGATCGTAAACGCGACCAAATTAAGATACATGATCGAGAGGAAACATGAACGATGTATGAAAAAATCAAACAAATTTATTTAATAAAACAAAATTTACAACTCAAAAAAATTTTTTTTTGCATGTAATAAAATTCCATTATTAAATATTAACCATCTAATTATATAGATCTTGATCGATCAACCCGCCTATATAGTTATTTTATCAATTATTCAATAGTTTGTACAAGCATTAAGGACAAGATCTACGAACAAAATATTGTAACGAACGTTTTATCAATCATTCAATAGTTTGTGTAGGAGTAATCGAAGTAAGCTTTAAGGACAAGATATATGAAGATTGAAAAATATTCTAACGAAGGTTTTATCAATCATTCAATAGTTTATATAAATTTATCTTTATATTTAATAACATCACTATTTTCAAAAATCATGTGACTGTAAAATTTTTATTGCATTTTTGATTGGACTAAGTGACTTGCACTATACATACAAAGTAATCTATTAATAGCCTAACGCGTACGTACAAAGAAGTCGAGATGTTTATTTACTAGATTAAGGTAACTTTTATGCGGTTTTTACTTTCATATGCTTTATAATAAAAAAGTAGAAGCTGCATGTGTTATCATGGTGATACGATGTATACAAAACAGTCCAATTTTTAAACATTAACTATATTATTTTATTACTATAGTAAAAACGATATACAAAATAGTCTAATTTCAACAAATGTTTTTAACATCGATTTACTATTACGAAAAACCAAATTAGCGTTGACTCATCTCTATTGACCCTTTTCGTTTAACAATTTCAATCCCTTGTATTCATTTATCAAACATTCCTACCTACCTTCAAGGAATCAAAGCTGAAATCAAAAATGTCCATAGGAAGGAGATTGACTCATCACCACATAGAACCGACCAAGAGCAAACATATTTTGATCTATGGTCAAAGGTGACGTCAAGTCTTGTGGACGTTTAATGCAAAAGGGTTCTGTAAAGGGATTTCACTTCGGTTTGGGATTGTTCAGGTTGATTTTCTGGATTTGGTTGTAGAAAGTGGGAAATGGCGTAATGATTGATTCTATTATCCATGATTTCAAAAAATTAAATTAAGTGTAGACAATTTTTTTGGTTAATGAGCAAAAAATTTTATTTATTTTATTGAACAAAAAAATCTAACCACATCAATTAAATTTAAATTGAAAATTAATTTCACAACAGAAACTATCAGATCCTTCATTCATTCAAGGTTTTTACATTTCTTTTAAACCTTTTTGATTTAAGGAATTTAATCTCTTATACTCATTTATGACATTGACGTCCACTTTCAAGCAGTCAAAGTCGAAGGACAGTATATCCGCCGAGTTCCAGGAAGGGGCCCTGCTCATCGCCACATAGATCTGACCAGCAAACATATTTTCGTCGATGGTCAAAGTTGAATGCGGTAATGTGAGGCCTTGAGTCTTGTGAACGGTAAGCGCGAACGCGTTCTGGATGGGAAACTGGCACCTCAATGCCGGGATACCATTAATATTGAAGTATGAAGTGATTCTCTGGACATTAATCTTTACTAAATTTTTGGTTGTAGGAAAGGCGACCTCAACATTATCATCATCAACGATTTTTGTGACAACTCCAATGGTTCCATTACATATGTTGTGTTCAAAAAGCCTGTTATTCAGATACATCACGCGGGCACCGTGACAGAGCTTGGGAGGTTGTGTAGTTCTTGAAGTGTAACTTATCGTCACTATTGTCAAATATCTGATTATTGAAACATCTCTAGGCTTGGACACAATAATGTCGGAGCTCTCGTCATTGAACGGCAGGTTGTTACAGATGAAAGAGTTGATATCATTGGCTGTCTGTCGAAGGCCAACAACATGTGTTGAGCTTATCATCGCATCCAAGTTACGTGAATTGGATATTTTTTCATTTATCATCGATTTTGATTTCTCAGAGAGTCTTCCAAATCTTAACTCCTCTAACAAATTGTAAAAGTCTAGGTCTTCCTTCTGCTGCTCTGGTTGGGTTAGGAAAAGAGGGAAGAACAATTGCCAAGCCAGAGAAAAAAAGACCTGTTCCCCATTCACAGGAGGCAGTTGAGCAAGGTCACCAATCACAAGGACTGGAATTCCTCCAAACACTCTGCTGCTCTTGTACAATGAACCAAACGTGTTGTTTAGGAATGTGAAGAGCTCGTTTGAGACCATAGAAATCTCATCGATGATGATAACTTTGATTTTTAAGAGTTCTGCCTTTAGCGTTTCATCATCAAGCAATAAGGTCTGATAATGGTTGTTGAACTGCCTGATCTTAAGGGCCGAGTGAATGGTTCTGCCACCTATCCTCTGTGCAGATACCCCGGTGGATGACAGCAACAGCTACTCAATTTTCCTTGATTTAAGCAATATTAACAACATGGCATGTCATGTACGATTTATCAGTGCCTGCTGACCCAGTCATGAAGAAGTACAGGTGTTTGTTTTCACATTCAGGACCCCAAGAATTACATAAGATATTGTAGACCTTGTACTATTTGGCATTGAGGATCAAAGTTGATGTGGCTGCTGATGGTGGCCTTACTAATATTGTTATTTACGTAACATAATATTTGATTTGAAATTAGCCAATCAAAAATGAGGGTAACCTTAGTTGATTAATAGTATAATTTTACTAAATAAATAAATTTTTGAATCTGTTATAGGGAATGCAAATATATTCTAAACAAAGTTGTTTACAATAAGAGGCAAAAATCTTCAGCCATAAACACCTTCCTTTGAGACATCAACCTAAAAATGACTGTGTTATGCAGATAGGAATTAAAATATGCATTGATGATGATATATTTGCTATCTTTTTTAATTGCCCACAAAAACAAGAATTGCCCCAAGACCAGAGTGTTTATTAAAAAAATTATTAAAAATTTTTTTATTAAACTAACATGAGGGAAAAAAATCACATTAAATTTTTTATAACAAATGAAAAAACATGTTCTATAATAAACTTTGTATTCCAGCAGAATGCATTTGATTTAATCTGTGGCATTCTTTTAGAGCTGCAGTAGGGATTTTTATCTGCTTGTAATTGTTATATGTGAAATTGAAATATTATGGAGTGGGTGAAATTCTGATTGGCTAATTTGAATTTCACACATGTAAATTTGAATTTCACATGTGAATTGTGAATTCACATAATTTTATTTTCACATACAACATAGTCAAAGGATAATATATCTGTCATTTCCCATGAAGGTGCTCTACTCATTGCCACATAAACTTGACCCTCTGCAAACATTGTTTCATCTACGTTGATAGTAACATGAGGTAGAGTTAATCCTTGTGTTTTGTGCACAGTCAAGGCAAATGCATTTTGGAGAGGAAATTGTTGGTGTGAAGCACGATTACCATTAATTTCAAAATGAGTTACTCCTTTTGTACAGTCATTTTTACAATACTTGCATTTGTTGGGAAAGCCACTTCTACATTTTCACAATTGATTATTTTTGTCACAACACCAATTGATCCATTACAAATACCATACTCATATAATCTATTATTTAAGAACATCACTCTTGCTCCTTCCTGAAGATAGATTTTCTTTGGGAAATTTGTAGTGTTGAAATTCATTTATATTGTGATTGTAATCAAGTATATTGGAATTTAATATATCAATTGCTGTAGAAACAATTGGGCCATTAGAAGTATCATCAAATGGTAGGTTACTACAGAGCAATGTATTGATATTCTCAGCAGTATTGTGAAGACCAACAACATGAGTGGTCTTATAAAAGTTCTTAATAAATTTTGAATTATCTATTTTATTTTGAATTAAAATTTTACTTTTTCTGATAATCGGCCAATATGTACTTCTTGGAGCAGGTCATAAAAATTCAGATCATTCTGCTGACACTTTGGTCTTGTTAGAAATAAAGGGAAAAAAAACCTTTTCCATGCTGGTGATTCAAAAACATAATCAGGTCTAATTGGTGGCAATTGTGCTAAATCACCAACAACCAAAACAGGAATTCCTCCAAAAATTAAGCTATTGCCATGAATGTTTGCAAAAGTTTTGCTAATGAATGTGAACATTTCAGAGTCAACCATTGAAATTTCCTCAATAATAATAGCTTCAATTTTTGATAATTCAGATCTACTTTCATTGTCACTGGTAGAAAGGGTTTCATATCTTCCCTCCCAGAACCTTATCCTCAATGCAGAATGGATTGTTCTACCTCCTATGTTCTGAGCAGCAACCCCAGTTGGGGCTATTAATAAATAATTTGTTTTCTTTGGTGTTTTTCCTGTGCCTGCAGGTCCTGTTAAGAAAAAATATGGATACTTCCCATTTGATAATTTTCCCCATATACTGTAAATCTGGTATTGTTCTGGTTCAAACATTAATGAAGACCAAGGGACATTTTTTTCAAGACTGAGCAATTGACTATATACCAGGTCTGATAAATTTTCACTGGAAATTTCATTTTTAATTAAATTTAAAATTGTTCTATATGCTTCTGATAATTGTTGTTTTTCTGTGATGAAACTAAAATGTAATGATCTGATTGCATTTTCATATTGCAAAGGAAACTTGGCTTGAAAACATTCCTTGTAAGTTGAATACCCATCTAGTAATTGTTGGTCAGATCGAGCAGGTATCTTCATAATCAGATGTTGGAAGAAAAAGGGTTCAGCATCCTCAACTTTATAATTAGCAAAACAAGGAGAATTGGATTTTTGTGTTTGACTATAGCATGGTTCTTTTTGTCATGTGTCCAAAACATTTTTGAATTGGGGTCAGGGGACGTTCAAGATCTTATTAGAAAGTATGGTAATGACTTGTATGATTTGTTGGATAAAAAAAATGCAATGATATTTATTTGTGGGTATGTATATATCGAAAATATTTTTTATATTGAATTTATTTGTTTGATGTTTGTTTAAGCTAATTATACATTACAATGTGATTGATTATATATATAGAGATGCCAAAGGAATGTCAAAAGATGTTAATGATGCATTGGTAGATATTTTAATCGAGCATGGAAAAATGGATCGTCCTGAAGCAATAAAATTATTGCAGAAATGGATGAGTGAGAAGCGTTATTTACGTGATCTGGTAAGATTGTTTGAATTTTGATTTATTTATTTCTAATCTGCTTGAATGATTCTGATTTCTTTTTTCTTTTAGTGGGCATGATCATTAATATATTATAGAAATGAAAAGTTGGCATGTAACTTTTACTTGTTATTTTTCCTATTTAAATTCTTGTCTATCTGGAGAATCATTACCTCGTAACTCTGAGAATAGAATGATCTGTATTTGTATGTTTATATAATAATAAAACAATAATAAATAAAAAAAATTTAATAAAAATAAAATAGCGCAAAATTTTAATCATGCAATTATTGATCGACAAATTGACCAATCAAAATCGTGAATTTGATAATGTAAAAATAAATGTTGGTTTGATTCGTATCGTCAACAATCACTTCACTAACAATTGTTTCGTTAACAAATGGTTTGAATTTAAGAAGTTGGAAGCAACCATGTGACAAACCTTTGAAATAGTCTAATAAATTAAATCGTACTACTCGAAAATATATTTAAAGGGTTGGTTTTCGACTTGGTTGAAGAATAACTCTCTTCCTAACTCTTCTCTTGACCATATCTCTCGACATAATCAAAATAACCTTAATATAACAAATGTCGAAATGATTGCAAATGCGACCAATTTAAGATACACGATCAAGAGAAAACATGAATGATGTATGAAAATTTATTTAACAAAACAAAATTTACAACTCAAAAAAATTTTTTTTGCACGTAATAAAATTCCATTATTAACTATTTGTCAACAATTACTTCACCAACAGTTGTTTCATTAACAAATGGATCGAATTTAAGAAGTTGGAATCAACCATTTGAAATAGTCTAGTAAATTAAATCGTACCACTTGAAAATGTATTTAAAGGGAGCATAGTGGACATTTGATTTCATTGGCTAAATTATGTGACGATCTCCCTTCCAGATATCATGCAAAAAATTAAATT